TGCGAAGCGCCACTAGCTGATTCAGCGAAGCTATTTTATCATAAATTGGTTAGGCATAAATTGGTACAATAAGATGATATGATTAAAGAAAAGGTTGGAGAGATTCCATTGTCAAGTTTTTAAATAAATGTAAACTATATAAAATTTTAGGAAGGAAGCAAGTTTATATCTATATATATAAAAATCTCTTGTCACAGTTTAAGTGGTTAAACTCCTCCTAAACGGCTTTACCGATTTTGATGAAATTTTATATGTATATTCAGTAGGTCTGAGAATACGTTTATAACTAATTTTTTTTTAATTTTTTGGACAGATTTAACGTATAGTTTGAATATATCTTTATTTCATCGTATTCGGATCCAAGCTATACATAGAAACATAACAATTAAAAAACAATATTCAAGCACGTTGCAACAAGTCATATTAAACTCTAATACTTATGCTCGCCCTTAAAAGAAGACCATCAGATATATTTGCAAGTATGTGAATAAAGGCAATGATATGACAGTATTTCGAGTTGAAAATACCAATGTGACTGCTCTTCCAGTGAATAACAACGATGAAGTAACGCTGTACCAAATTAGCCGGTACATCAGCTCCAATGAAGCTGTTTGGCGTATCTTTGGATTCCCAATTCATGAACGGGAATCCAACCTTTAGTCATTTAGCCGTCCATCTTGAAAATGGTCGGAGCGTATATTTCACGAACGAGACAGCGATTGACCAAGCTATAAATCCGCCAAAAACTACACTCGCAGAATTTTTGTGAATTGTGTAATGTGCGGATGCTTTTGGTGCCTTTGCACGGACATTACTCTACTCAGAAGTACCACACCATTTTACATGGGTTCAAACAAAAAAAAATGGACACCCCGCAAGCAAGGCACACCGGTTGATGCATGTCCCAGCTTACTCAAATCAAACGCCTTGTGGAGAGTATTTACAGTCAATCCAAGGCAAACTGAGTGCTTTTATTTTCGACTGCTGTTGGTTAATGTCACCGGCTCATTGTCATTTCAAGATATACGTAAAGTCGATGGACATCAGCATCCAACGAATAAAGATGCACGCCTTGCACTCGGTTTGCTGGAGGACGACAACCATTGGGAATGTGTGCTTGCTGAAGCAGCATTGAACTGAACTGCAAAGAAAATTCGTCTACTATTGCTATAGTATTAACTACATGTTTTCCGGCCCGTATAAAAACGTAATGGGATAATCACAAAGATTCGCTGACTGATGATATACGGTATCAACATTGCACACGTTGCAACGATCTAACCATAGCATTCAGCGATGCTATGCACAATGAAGCACTGATTGCTATTGAGGATCTTTGCACTATTATTGCCAACTTGCCACTCAGTCATTTCGGTATGCCTTCGCCAAATGGAAGTGCATCTGATTTATTAAACACTGACATGAACCGTGAACTTCAATACAATACGCACTAATGAATGAGGAACAAAGGAACATTTATGACAGCATTATGCTCGCAGTTTCGGCAGGACAAGGTGAAATTTTTTTTTTGGATGCACCAGGTGGAACTGGCAAAACATTTATTATTTCGCTAATTCTCGTTGAAACACGATCAAATAATGGCATTGCGTTGGCCGTAGCATCATCTGGCATTGCGGCAACTTTATTGGATGGAGGCATAACAACTCATTCATTATTTAAGCTGCCACTAAATATTCAAAACAACCCAGATGCAGTGTGCAACATAAAAAAGCAGTCGTCTATGACCACAGTGTTGAAACACTGTCAAATTATCATCTGGGATGAATGCACTATGGTACACAAACATTCGCTTGAGGCGTTGAACAGGACATTAAAAGATATAAAAATGCTCTCATTAACTTAATATTTCCCGATGTACACACGCAATACATTCATCATGAGTGGCTGGCAGAAAGGGCGATGTTAGCAGCAAAAAATGTGGACGTCAACGAATTGAATCTGAAGATACAACAGCTATTGCCAGGTATCTTGGTGACATATAAATCCGTTGATGCAGTTTGCGATCCCATTGAAGCTGCAAATTTTCCAACAGAGTTTTTAAACTCATCGGATTTACCAGTCATACCACCGCATAATTTAGTACTCAAAGTTGGATCTCCGGTTATTTTGCTTCGTAGCTTGAACCCACCAAGTCTGGGCAACGGCACGCGATTAGTCGTGAAAAATTAATGAACAACGTTATCGAAGTCATTATTTTAAATGACAAATTCCGGGGGGAAAGTATATTACTTCCACGAATCCCTATTATATCCACAGATGTGCCAATTCAATTTAAATGCATTCAATTCCCCATTAAATTGGCATTTGCAATGACAAGTCCAAACAATATCTGTTTGAATCTTAGATTTGAGCACACCATGTTTTTCCCTCGGACAATTATACGTTGTATGCTCTCGAGTGGGCAAACCATCCAGTTTATTTGTGTTAGCTAAAGATGGAATGACAAAAAATATTGTTCACTCCATTGCACTGAGAGATTAATATTGTTGACTAATATTTTCAGAATTCGTTGCATATATAATTTATAAAAAAATTTACAATAAATTTAAAAAAACTATTATTTGATGTGTTGTTATTTTCACATTCCGTCATCGTTAGCAGCGCTCCATGCCTCTTCCACTCATATACCACATACGCACACACTTACAATAAAAAAGATATATTTCCATACTCTAGAAATAATTCATATGGCAAAACAACGTTTCTCAGGTCAGCTAGTATATATATATATGCTAAAATTGTAAAAAAAAACTCCGTAGATAAAGAAATTTAATGTTTCTCGTAAAAACGGCCTTCGTTCTCGTTTTTGGTGTATATGCTTTCAGGTTTGAACGAGTGTAGTCGAGCATTAAGGTAGCGAGTTCCTGAAACTTTCAAATTTTTATAACAGATTTTATTTTTTTCTCAAGTGATAACTAAATGTTTCTTTTTTCATTTTGTTTATCAAAGTTGATTTACATACTTTCCACACACAGTAGATCCAAATAATTTAACTAAATATTTGAATAGAAAGTCGAATTGTTTGCATAGTTAAAAAACTCATATTTACAACTGTAAAATCAAGTGTTATATTGTTATTTCGTTAATAAACCTTAACCAAGAAGTATAAAAAATGGCATCTGGTCGGAATGTGATGAACTCACCAAAATATTGTAAATTTTTATTTTCGCTGAAACTTTTTTAATTTGTATTCTTCAATGTTCAATTTATTCTGATTTATTCACTGCTCACCAAGCTCTAACTGCTATTTTTTCTCACAAACACAATTTTCAATTGTATTCTTCAATGTTTGATTTATTCCGATTTCAGAGATGCCAACTTGCTCCAGACAGTGAATCTATATTTTCGAGTGGTAGTTTATTAATTGTTATTCTTGGTTTAATAAATTCAATAATTCGAAGGGTTATAGAATTCGCCTCTTCTTTTCCTCATCATCACGCCATTAGCTAATCAGAAAAAGATCTACTCTACAAAGAGTATAAAGCAGATTCCTATCAACACCGAAAGTTTTCGTGGCAGCCGTTATAGTGCTTCCGATGTCAGGGCTTCGGACATACTCAGCGTACCTGTTCCAATAACCCCAGATGCATGAAATGTGCAGAAAAGCACTACTGATACCGATGTGGAAGAAGCGGAGACTCTCCAGCCAAATACTGTAACTATAAGAACCACACCTCAAACTTCACTAAGTGCGAGGCCCCCTACAGTAGAAAAAGATCAGAGGCCAAAGCAACTTCATCTGCCTCTTCAACTCGTCGTTTAGTAACGATCATGCAGGAATTACAAGAGCTCCTGAAAAATGAAGAAGTGCTAGGTCTACTACAAACCATACTCAATAGGATTTCCCCATCTGAATGATGATCATCCGAATTCAACTCATGCTCTACTCCACTGAGGACCTAAATTTTTTATCTAATTTACTTCAGAACTTTTGAAACATATGACTCCTTAGCATATGTCAATACAGATTCGACGAATCGGTTAGTACACCGAGATTTAACCCATTCCCAGCCATTTGGTTACAGTCAAGTCTTGCTAAACCTTTAAAAAAGTAAGCAAAATTAGTCAAATATTTGCAAATTTTAGTTTGTGGTAAATTATCGTTTTCTTTTTTTAAAATATTTTGGCGTGTCCGGAGCAGTTGGCATCTCTGCGATTTATCCACTGCTCACAAGCTCAAACTGCATTTTATTCTGACAAAAGCAATCTACATTTTGCATTCTTCAATGTTTGATTTATGCCGATTTATCCACTGCCAACCTAGTTCTATCTACTGTTTTTTTCTGACAAAAACAATCTACATTTTGTATTCTTCAATATTAGATTTATGCTGATTTATCCACTGCCCACCTAGTTCTATCTACTGTTTTTTTTTTCTGACTAAAGCAATCTACATTTTGTATTCTTCAATGTTTGATTTATGCCGATTTATCCACTGCCCAACAAGTTCTATCTACTGTTTTTTTCTGACAAAAACAATCTACATTTTGTATTCTTCAATGTTTGATTTTTGCCGATTTATCCACTGCCCACTTAGTTCTATCTACTGTTTTTTTCTGACAAAAACAATCTACATTTTGTATTCTTCAATGTTTGATTTATGTCGATTTATCCACTGCTTACCTACCTCTAGCTACTGTTTTTTCTGACAAAAACTATCTTCTTTTTTTATTCTTTAATGTTCAATCTATTCTTCTATTTCCTAAATAGCCAATGAACTTTCTTCAACCAAATTCAAATCTATCTACTACCTCAATTTTAACATCAAGAATACACAAATCAAGATGAAAAGGCAAAAAGATCGTTCTCCGCCCAGAGTGTCCAGCTCTAATTAACTGTTTGCTGGAATTATTTTTTAATATTAAACTCAGGTAAACAAAATAAAAAATTACTAGTTTTTTTTATTGCTTGCTACTTTTTTTTAAAATTTGTTTATAACTTTTCTGGTTATACAACTTGCTGAATTTTATTTCTTTTAGAGTGTAAATGCTACTATGGATGGGGGTGCAAATTTGTAAATAATAACAAAATCTGTATATGTCTTAAAGGTTATGTTCAGGATAAAGGAGATTGTTACCGTAAGTATATTTCAATATTTAACCAATTTGTGCTTAGCGTCCTTTTAATAGGATGGTTTCTTTTTCAAAAAAAAGAAAAAAGTGCACCACGCATGTTTCATAATAATATTTATTTTGTAAAATCAAGGTACTGTGCGGCTTTCAGGAGAACTCCTCCAGACATCAGTCTCCCTTCGTGGCGGTTACCACGGTTACGAGGGAAAGTTACTTCGAATAGAGGTGTGGGGTGAATAGTTTTGTCTTGATCTTTGCATAGGTCAGCTTAAGTAAACCAATAAGTACTTTATGTAATATTTACAAAATTAATTTTAAAAGAAATAAAATCACTAATTCCCCTATTTTTCAATAGTCTCCAATGCGCGATGGTAGACTACTTCCTCTACAATGGCATGACTGCCCAGGTTGAGCCAGCCCCTGACTCTTATTCAAGTGGGTCTGGTCTTTTTCTTGGTAAATAATATTATTGTGCCATGGGTGGTTTTCGTGGTTCTCTTCTCCATGTAACAAAAATGCGAGTTTGTTCCTTGAAAAATGCCTGCATGAAGGCAAATTTCTCGCATTACTTGAGCCAGGAGTTACCTTGTCTTCTAGATTGGGTTCAAAATTGCAAGGCTACGGAGTTGAACATCAGTAGTAAGCCCAAAATTAGGCAGATTGTTCAACAACGGTCATAAAATTATAAATATATATTTGTTTCCAGTTGTTGTTTTTTTTTTCAATTAATAATTAAAATATTTTTAAAATTCATAATCGATATTTTTCTTTTCTTAAGAAAACATAGCAAATCACAATTTTTTTTCTATTTTCCAGAAAACAAATTAAAGTGAATGAATGTATTTCAGAACCGTTCTTTTTCATCGTTGTTGAGAGATATTTTTTACAAACTTTTTTATTCTTTTCAGGGTGTAGTTGCGGAGAAAATGGTAAATGCGTCTGGGACTGGAGTCATACACAGATACGTTGTGATTGTAATCCTGGTTTCATGGAGTTCGACGGAGTTTGCAAAGAGAGTAAGGACTGGAAATAGATTTTCAAATATATATCACTTACATCAATTATTCTTAAAGTGGTCGTTAAATAATATGGTTCCCACACTATTCGGGAGAAGAGCAAGCCATTTTAAGAGCATTGTTTAACAATTGAAGTTAATCTGCATTGTAGGAAGGCAGCCGTCAGTAAATTTAGTCCTTTGCACTCTAGGTCCTTTTAACGATTAAAAAGCACGGACTCAACCAGTAGAAGACAATTCTAATTGTTTTCACATGTATCATACAATACTTAGAGACAACTAAATACATTTATTTATTGGTTTATTGGAATTACGTACATTTGCAAGCTTGTGTTCACAATTTTGGCTTGTCCCGTAGTGGACTGATCGTTAAGACACGGTTCCCAGCAAATCACCGAAGTCAAGCATCACTTGTGGTGGTCAGGGTGCGGGTGGGTGACCACTTGGATCAGTCTGCGTAGGGACCTAGGGTGTGCGGTATGGGTCCTCGTTAAACTGTTCTACCGTAAAATGCTTGACTTCGCGCTCAGGTCGTCGGGCTACCGAAGCGGGGGTCCCATCCCCTCTGTAGAGGATCAAAATTGTGATGGCATGTCTTCGGATCATCCTCAGGGATGTTGCCCAGATAGTTGCCAATAGCCCATTGTGCAGCTCTAGTGCGACGTAAATGAACTACAACAACAACAACATAGTGATTATCTCACCCCATTCTTTTCTTCTTCATTATTTGCCTCCAGTTTCATCTTCCTCATTTGATGATATAGCTCAGTGGTGCCCTATCTATTTTGATCCACCTCTCCCGTTTCACTATCATTTGAAGCTCATTCCTCCTACAAAGATACAAAGCATAGTTTTACAATATTTATTCAGATTTTGATTGCTTAATACATTTTAAAAGTAAAACAACTAAAGCATAAAAAAAATTTATACACTAATGTTTTCATTTTTTTTTCATTAACCAGACTTTTATAATCAATTCACGGGGACGCTTTTCCATCATCATAAGTTATCTACCACTCTGAATATTAAAATTCTTAAATTTAAATTTTCATTAACTACCATAATTTCACCTGCCAACTTTTAATCCTTTCGAGGTTGATTTTTCCCAGTATTAGTAGAATGGAAACTGAATTACAATTTTAGGCAGAAAAATACGTTTATTTTAAAAAAGCTTAAGCAAATTACCATGATAATGTCACATATTAATGCATATATATATGCTTAATTTTTTTTAAGAATAGTGGTGGTCAAAATCATTAAAAATTAAGTTTATAAAAGTAAGAATAGCATACATTTACTACCACTTTAAATACAGAAACAGAATTTTACGCTAAATGCGTAAAAGTTGGCAGGTAAGCATATTTAAGGACCATAACAGCCACCACACAGTCTGATGAACACAGAAAGTTCCCAAAAGTCATGTTTCCCAGATCATATCTCCACGCGTGGTGAGACCGCTCGTCTGAGAAGGACTCCAATACTTGCAATTTTTGTTTTAAGAATCTAAAAGAAATATGTATACAAATTGCATTGCTTAAAATTGTTATAAATTTTGAAGAAATTAAATGCTAGAAAAAAAACTCGAGCTAAATTTATGAGTAAAACTGACCCTTTCAGCATATCGCTGCATTTTTGAAAACTTTGAGTGGGTTTCGTGCGTATTTTCTTCTTAATTATGCGTTTAATAGGTAATAATTTTCTAACTAACTCTTGAATGGTAATTTTTTTATTCGATTCTACTCTTTGTACATTTTACTACTCAGTCTTGTAATTTCAAGTTTCTAAGTCTACCCGAAGTTTCTAAGTTTAATTCTCTACCATTGTAAAGTTTCTAAGTTTCTTGTGCCACTCAAAGTTTCTATACAGCAAAACAACGTATGGTTGTATACCCTATACAGCGGCAGTGACTCTTACTATTTTTTTTAAATAGAGAGAAATAAATAGTTTTTTTTACTTATTTTTTTTAGTTTCAAATTGTTATTGTGGAGAAAACAGTAATTGCACTCTGAAGGACAACGAAAAGATTTGTTCATGCCAAGAAGGATTTACTTACATGAATGGATTATGCACAGGTAAATATTTGAACGTTTTTACACTTAAATCTTTAATCTAACTAAATATGTATAATATCTATGAATGAAATAATGATATGAATAAAAATATTAGAGCTACTTTATAAATATTCTGAAGACTGTGCAAACTTGTTTTTACTAAACGTTAAGATGTTTCGATATTTAGAGCGGCACTTACTTTTATAGCAGTGTTTCTTAAAGTGTGGTACGCGTACACCCAGGGGTACGGGAACAGTTCAGTGAGGGTACGCGTTCTTATGCGAAATATCTTGCAACAAACGAAAATTTCTAAGAAATTTATTTAAAAACAAAGCTAGCCAAGAAAATTTACGATTACTTATTTTTCTATTGGCTATTTTTTGCAGAGTTAACAGCTAATAATTAGTGGTGTCAACAGCGAGTTGTGATTATTAACTTTTGTGCAATTTTGTTATAGTAAAAAATACATTTATTTTTTTGTTACTGGAACGCAGCGCTACGAAAAATTTAGAAAGGGTACACAAAAGTCATAAGTTCGGGAAACACTGCTTTATAGGTCTCACCTATAAGAGACACCTTTTGAGTGCATAGGTTCACAATTTATTTAACAGAATAAAGACATATATACAAGTTTAATGAAAATTACAATAAAAAATAATTAGATAAAGAATTAGTAACATTTTTAAACTTAAAATATTCAAAAAAATAAAATAATGCGTTTGTTTAAAAATTAACATGCTTCCATTTTTACTTATAATCGCTGCGACAAAGCTTGGCAATATAATATTGAAACGGCAATATAATATTGAAACATGACTTAGTTTCTTTGTTTTGTTAAATCATTCCTATTTAAGTTTTACTTTTCTAAGTCTGCTAAGTATATTTCATAACTAGCCGCCTNCAGTGTTAATAATTAGTGGTGTCAACAGCCAGTTGTGATTTTTAACTTTTGTGCAATTTTGTTATAGTAAAAAATACATTTATTTTTTTGTTACTGGAACGCAGCGTTACGAGAAATTTAGAAAGGGTACACAAAAGTCATAAGTTTGGGAAACACTGCTTTATAGGTGTCACCTTTTGAGTGCATAGGTTCACAATTTATTTAGCAGAATAAAGACATATATACAAGTTTAACGAAAATTACAATAAAAGAATAATTAGATAAAGAATTAGTAAAATTTTTAAACTTAAAATATTCAAAAATAATAAAATAATGCGTTTGTTTAAAAATTAACATGCTTCCATTTTTACTTATAATCGCTGCGACAAAGCTTGGAAAGATAAACGGCAATATAATATTGAAACTTGACTTAGTTTCTATGTTTTATTAAATCATTCCTATTTAAGTTTTACTTTTCTAAGTTTCCTAAGTTTATTTCATAATATAGTTCATATTTTGTGAATTTATAATTCTGTAGCCGTTTATCTTCACTTTCACGTATCCTCAAACCATGATATTATTAAATCATGAACTTACGTGAAACACTTTTTTTATACAGCTGCTAAAACTGTTTACTTCTAACTGAGACTGAAGATTTAAACTATCGTACTTAAAGATTCACATCTATTCATGCAGCTAAGCTAACCTTTAAGGATTATCAAGTGCACGAAAGCCTGTTCACACGATTTTTATCATACAACGCTTTTCATCGCTACATTTAGCGACTTTTTAAAACTAAAAATAATTTATGTATAATTTATTTATACATATTAATAGCTTTTATCGACAAATATGAGCAAAATGTGAGCAAAGTGCCAGTTATGCATCAAATGAGAAGAATGAAGAATATTATTTTATTTCAGATATCAACGAATGCGATAATCCAAATGCTTGCCCAAAAAATAAAAAGTGTAAGAATCTAATTGGAAGCTACAACTGCTCATGCGCAGATGGTTTCCAACCTTCAGAAGATAAAGAAGGAGAATGTGATGGTAAGATGTTTCCTTTAACAGTTCCAAACTGGAACAATGATTATCAACAGTGTTAGAGCCAAAACATGCGGTACAACTGCAAGTGTCCTAAATTAAGAGGACGGTTTCCTAAAATTTATAACTGTTAGATGAGCTTAGCTTAAAAAAAATAAATCAATACATAACGAGGTATTAATTTTTCTTCCTGGATTTTCAGTTTTATTTTTAAAAATTCCGACAGATGGTGCTGCAGGCAGGAAAGGAAATAAGTCAAAGGAAAATTATTAAAAGTCACATAAAAACATGACGCATTTCGATATGTGATTGTGGTTGATTGTGTATATTTCATAAATATTGTAATGTGATTTTAATTCTCTAAGAGATTTTAAAAACATGTAGTGGTATTTTAAATTATTTTTTCTTAATTAGCACTTTTACCATCTGCGCAGCACCATCCTTTAAATTCAAAAACAAAATTCAGCGCTAACTACCCTCGCTTCCTCTACGATAATGGAGTGGCCCGAGCGAAAATTCACTTAGCCCAGATATCATCTTCTGTAATTCGAGTAGTAATGACAAATTACTCTGCTTTGAGAAGTATAACACTCCATCCCAAAAATTTAAGCACAAGCAAAAAAATTTCATATTTAACGGCAAATAAACAGAATGTTAACAAAAAGACAATTTCATGTGATGTAATTAAAAAGTGGTAACAAATAAATTGCTGAAAAATATTTTTTTTATTACGGATTTGATAAATAAAATAAAAAATAAATAAACAACGGGCTTTCTTGAAAGTTTATAAGCTTAAATGACACAATTTACTTACTTACTTACTTATCCTCTACGTGCCTTTGGGCACTCAAGGCCTCTAGCATATACCTCCAACGCCTCCTGTCTCTAGCAATAGATCTTGCTTCCTCCCAGCCAGATATTCCACATTCTTTTAATTCGCCCAAAAACATGCGCTGGATGGTAAGTTGTTCTCTTACCATCAGGGGCCCATGTAAGAGCAACGGATATAATTTTTTCTTTGGGCATTCTAAGGATATGTCCGAGCCAGCTCCATCTTCGTTTTTTAATTTCATCTTCGATTGTTTTTATTTTAGCTTTCTTTAATAGATTTTGATTTGATACTTTGTAAGGCCAGAAAATTCTTAAAATAAATCTTAACAGTTTGTTTTGAAAGGTTTCTAATTTTTGTATTTCGATCTTAGTCTGTTTCCAAGTTTCTGAGTCATATAATAGTACTGCTCTAACAATAGCTTTGTAAACAACTATTTTTGTCTTTATTTCAATATTTGACTCTCTCCAAAATCTATGTAATCCCTTAAAACATGTTCTTGCTTTGATTATTCTCTGTCTAATATCTTCACTACTTCCACCTTTTTTATCTACAATAGAACCTAAATAGCTAGATGACTCTATGTCATCTATTTCGTGATTTTCGATTTTAATTTTGTCATTTTTCTTATTTTGTCATTTTTCTTTTGATTTATTCTCATTACTTTAGTTTTCTTCTTGTTTAATGACACAATTTAGGAGTCTTAAAGTAATCTAAATTAGATACTGATCCCCAATTATTCTTAANCTTTGATTATTCTCTGTCTAATATCTTCACTACTTCCACCTTTTTTATCTACAATAGAACCTAAATAGCTAAATGACTCTATGTCATCTATTTCGTGATTTTCGATTTTAATTTTGTCATTTTTCTTTTGATTTATTCTCATTACTTTAGTTTTCTTTTTGTTTAATGACACAATTTAGGAGTCTTAAAATAATCTAAATTAGATATTGATCCCCAATTATTCTTAAAAATATAGAATGTACATTTTTTCATTGAATAAATAACCTTCTGGTGAGTTTCCATTGAATAAATAACCCGTGGGGGGGGGCGGGGCGAGATTGCCATATTTTCTCATTAGACTTTTGGAGTTCTTTTATAATGCTATATTGTTTAAGATTTCTATATGGAGGGGTTGGACAAAATAATGGGAACATTTCTACTAACACATTTTTGGATCTTTCTCAAAAAATACTAAGAGAATCATTTTATAAATATAGAATTATTTAGGATTTGCAATTTCTCATACTTTTCAATGAAGTTTACATTATACTTACGTTGGGGGATTAGAAAATGGGTGGATCAACGCCTTTTTATTTTTGTAAATAAGTTCACTTTAACTGCCGGTCTTATAATTAGTGTAACAGATATTTCAGGGCAAAAATTTAAAATTGTTAACAAGATAATAATATTTAAATATATCACTTAAAATTGCGTGCAGGGTTTTTTTTTTCATTCATTTTTATAAACTTAATTTAATTTTGGAAAATGTATATTACTTAAAATAAAAGTCACAAAATCCACGGTGGTCTTATGATTTTGCTACACATGTAATAAACCAATAACTATAAAAATATTTTTAAAAAATCTCAAAATAGCTTCTTCTTTGAAGACATTATGACATGCTAATCATAATTATAGTCTAAAATGTTTAAAAAAATTGACTCAAAAATAACTGATTAAAAATAGATGTTGAAAGAAACGAGTGAGAAAGTTTGTTAAAAATAAACATTGAAACAAGTTTAAAAAAAGAGAGAAAAAAACTTTAACGCTTTAAACAATGAAATATCTTTTATTATTTAAGTGTAACATTATTCAAGTATGTAAAACAATATCTACACGCGGTTAACTTGCCTGACTGTGAAGCCAATGGCTGCGTGTTCGAATCCCTCTATGGCCATGGATGTTTCTCTCTATGTGTTGTCCTCTGTTGTTTGTGAATGTGGCCCACCCGATGAACGGGTATTTGTGGCGGTGTGGCGCGGGTAATGTTGCTCGCCTCCACGACTTAGGTTCACAGGAGCGCACTGGGTAACGTTAAATGAGCAACACTTCCGGCATCTTCCGAAGTGAAGAACGAAAAGTTCAGTACCTACCGTTAGAGGAAGGGGGAAAAATTCCAGGCAACCGGTAGAGAAACTTATTTTTGGTTTCTTTTTATTTGACCTTAAGTTGTATCGATTGCTTACGGGGAGCTATAATAGATTTGTCTCCTCGTAATATTTTACAAATGTTAAAACAGTTCAGGCTTCAGGGGTAAAAAGGTTAACGGAATGCTAAATCAAAAATACTAATCGGAAAAACTAAATTGTAATCAAAATTAACAATTTTTTTTTACTTTTTGTTAATTTTTTATTTACTTTATTTATTATACTTGTTTATTTTGTAGATATTGACGAATGCCAAAATGCGAACTCTTGCGCTGGTTCTGAAACTGAGTGCTTCAATACCGTTGGAAGTTTCAGGTGTGTCTGCAAGTCTGGTTTCGCTACTCGTGATGGGATGGCTGCAAGTCCAATCTGCGAAAGTAAGACATTCTTATTTTCACAATTGATGGTTGACCATGTGAAACCTAAGTACAGAGGGTTCAAGGGGTTAAAATGTATAATCGTGAGACTTCCGGGTTACCACTTCCGATTGATTTTCACGCTTAAGCTTGAAAAAGTGCGCTATACAATAATATGAAACTTGTAGAGTTTACAATGCAACACGTTTTTTAAATTTCAACGTGACACATAACAAACGAATTCAGAAGACTCCACGGCCTGCTATGATGCTATCCAGAAAATAAGAAACGGCGATATACGGACACAAATATACCGAAAAACGGACACATTCAGCCAAACACGAGCACAAATATAGTCAATTAAGGGATAACACTCAAACCTTACGCTATATTTTTGTTGTGATTTTAACTTTCTGAAATTTGTTTCACGCACATGACCTGTTGAATTTATAAATTACAGATATCTCTTAGGAATGGTAAAATTACATGTAAATTTAAACACTATAATGAAACTTCTAAGAATATAAAGCATGTTATAATATCGCCTTGTAAGCATAACATAAGCAGTGGGATACACGGGAAGTTTTCTGAATTTCCTTCAGTTTTAGGAGGCTTGTTATTGTTTACATGCATTCAATCATCCACACTCAATCCACTCTGTGCAGTTTGAACCGTATGAAAATAAGATTTTTCGTGACAATAGTGTTTAAAACAGTAAGTTAAGTTGAGTTTACAGCTTGGTCCAACTTAGAGTCCACATTGTTACACTGTTAGTTGCATTGTTACACTGAGACTGTTTAGTTGGAAATAGTAATTTAGCTCCCTTTCAAAAATAAACTGGTTTATTGGTTTATTTAATCCATCTCTTTCTCCCATAACCCTCGATAATAATTTGTCAAAGCTTGATAATATATATGTTTTTCCCCAGGATGCTCATTTTATACGATTTTAATTACTATGACCCAATTTTAAACATTATTATGCTCCTTTTCTAATATAATTCAGTAATTTACTTCCGAAATAAATACTTTCTAAAGAAAGACTGAACAATAAACAAGACTGAAACTTCTTATAACAAAACTAAACTCAAATGAGCAAAATTGCCCCAATATTAGCAGCTTTGCGGACTGAATATCTTAAGATAAAGAAACTTACAGATATCCCTCTTTTTCATATATACATAAATTCCTAAAAATAGTTAACAATCTGCATATTGCTTCGCTGTGTGCTTAAAAGTTTTTTTCATGTCCGTGTTTACTTCTTTTTCAGATAAATCTTCATGGAAAACTGGATTCGGAATTTTAATAGGAATTTTTCTTGCAATTATTATTGGTCTAGTAATCATGATATACAGGAAGTCTTGGTAAGTATACGAACTAACATAATGTATTCCTCAAGATTTCCAGCCATTTCAGCATATTGCATTTTTTTTTAACCTCATGCAATAACAATAAAACTAAGAGAAAACAATTTGCTGCATCTATATACTTAATTAGGTACTTGCATTAGGTACCTAATACATGTACATGCCTTGCATTGGGTATGAACTTGCATTAGGTACTTGATCTTACCGAATTTGAGCGTGGGAATTTCAAAGATGAAATTAGTTTTGTTCCGAAAGCTGCAGATGTTTAATCAAAATGATATTTTTAGTTTATTTATTGTACCGGCCAGGTTGTCGAGCGGTCAGCGTGCCTGACTGCGAAACAAATGGTTGCGAGTTCGAATCCAGATCAGGGCATGGATGTTCCTCTCTGTCTGCTGTCCTCTGATGTATAAATGGGGATCACCACTATCTGTGGCAGTGTGATATGGTAATGTAGCTCGCCTCCGGGACTTAGGTTCAAAGGTGACAAAACGGTTGCGCTAAATGGGCAAGAATTCCGGCATCTATTGAGGTGAAGAAAAGGAAGTTCAACCCCTGCCGTTAAAAAAAAAAGTTTATTTGTTGACTGAATGCACAAATTTATAAGGAACGAATAGATTTATATACAACATACGTATACACTTGTCTGCTCTTTAGAAAATAACACCCAAGACAAAAACATATGATCCTAACGTATCGCATCATAAATTGAAAGTTATTATCGTCTTTTTCCAACCACTCCCTACGTAGCGGAAAAGTGGGGACATCTAGTATTCACTAGTCTGAATTTTTTTAAAAATCTCAGATAGGAATATATTGTGAATTGCTTAAAAACTGTAGCTTGAAAAACCGATTGCAGATGTGAAATCAGCACCTCCAACTATTTAATATACTTTCAGAAATCTCATGCAACAGGAAAAAAATCCTTGATTGTCAAATTTAAAAGAACTTGGTATTGTAAGCGGAAAAAAAATTTAGTGGTTAAGCATAATTGTTTACCACATATTCAGCTCATTTATCTTTTTCAATGTTTGATATCCTTGAATTATTTAGGAAAAATATTATTTNTTCAAGGGGTTAAAATGTATAATCGTGAGACTTCCGGGTTACCACTTCCGATTGATTTTCACGCTTAAGCTTGAAAAAGTGCGCTATACAATAATATGAAACTTGTAGAGTTTACAATGCAACACGTTTTTTAAATTTCAACGTGACACATAACAAACGAATTCAGAAGACTCCACGGCCTGCTATGATGCTATCCAGAAAATAAGAAACGGCAATATACGGACACAAATATAGCCAAAAACGGACACATTCAGCCAAACCATCACCTCCTTCATCAAAAAGCCTCCACACGGTCTTTCATAAGTAATCCGCGCAGACTATATAAAAAGTGAACCAGTTGTGCGCATGAACCCAAAACCTTTTGTAAAAGTAATTGAGAGAAATTCATCATATATATTTGAGAATTGAATCTGTAGTGGTTGACAAGTGAATAAAGCAAACCAATAATATTCACAAATTTAAAAAAAAATTAGTCATATATTTGCTACCACTTTCTTATTTTAACTAGATTTTGTATTAAGTGACTCATTCTGAAAGTGGATATCCATCAGAGTGGTCTGATCGGACTACCTATAAAAAACCGTGTGGAGGCTTTCAATTATAGGCGGCGTTGGCCAAACACGAGCACAAATATAGTCAATTAAGGGATAACACTCAAAACATGTCGAACCTTACTCTATATTTATGTTGTCATATTAACTTTCTTAAATTTGTTTCAGGCACATGACCTGTTAGAATTTATAAATTACAGATAACTCTTAGGAATGGTAAAATTACATGTAAATTTAAGCACAATAAAACTTCTAAGAATATTAAGTATATTATAATATCGCCTTGTAAGCATAACATAAGCAGTGGGATACACTGGGATTTTTCTGAATTTCCTTCTGTTTTAGGAGGCTTGTTATTGTTTACATGCAATCAATCATCCATACTCAATCCACTCTGTGCAGTTTGAACCGTATGAAAATAAGATGTTTCGTGAAATCAGTGTTTTAAACAGTAAGTTAAGTCGAGTTTACAGCTTGGTCCAACTTAGAGTCCACATTGTTAAACTGTTAGTTACATTGTTACACTGAGACTGTTTAGTTGGAAATAGTAATTTAGCTCAAAATAAACTAGTCAAAATAAACAAAAATAAACTGGTTTATTGGTTTATTTAATCCATCTCTTTCTCCTATCACCCTCGATAATAATTTGTCAAAGCTTGATAATACAGTGAAACTTCTCCTAAAGGCCACCTCTACTTAAGGGCCACCTCTATTAAGGGCCAATATTTTGAGGAACGAAAATTTTCCCCATAGACATAATGTTAATTTTCCTCCCATTAGAGGGCCACATTTTCCTGACTACCTCCAATAAAGGCCATTTATTTTTAAAAAAAATTTCTCAAAAATTATATCGTTTTAAGTTTTAAAAAAATACAATACATGTTTTTTTTAAACTTATTTGTTCAATTTTTTCAGGATTTCAGTCTGATTCAGATAATGAAAATGAGTCCCCCGTGCCATATTTATCAAACCAAGAAACGCTAATAGAAGTAAATAAACTGATATCCCAATCCAAGGCATAATAAATTATGCGAATTTAACTTATTTGTTCTATAGAGTTAAGGAATCATTAGAAACTAAAATTGTTTGCGAAAAAGTTGTAAAAAGTAAACAAACTTCAATTGAAATTTTTTTTAAACATGTATAAAAACTTTAAATGTTAATAAACAGTTTTTTTCTACATAAATTTTGATTTCTTCATTTTATTTTTTGGTCACCCCCATTTAAGGGCACCCCTCATAAGGACCAATTTTCAATGGAACGACAGGTGGCCCTTACCGAGAGGTTTCACTGTATATATATTTTTCCCCAGGATGCTCATTATACGATTTTAATTACTATGACCCAATTTTAAACATTATTATGCTCCTTTATCTAATAGAATTCAGTAATTTACTTCCGAAATAAATACTTTCTTAAGAAAGACTGAACAATAAACAAGACTGAAACTTCTTATCACAAGACTAAATTCAAATGAGCAAAATTACCCTAATATTAGCTGCTTTTCGGATTGAATATCTAAAGATAAAGAAACTTACAGATATCCCTCTTTTTCATACATAAATAAATTCCTAAAAATAGTTAACAATCTGCATATTGCTTCGCTGTGCGTTTAAAAGTTTTTTTCATGTCCGTGTTTACTTCTTTTTCAGATAAATCTTCATGGAAAACTGGATTCGGTCTTTTAATAGGAATTTTTCTTGCAATTATAATTGGTCTAGTAATCATGATATACAGGAAGACTTGGTAAGTGTACGAACTAACATAATGTATTCCTCAAGATTTCCAGCCACAGAGATGCCAACTGCTCCGGACACGCCAAAATAATTTTAAGAAAACGGTAAATAACTACAAAGCAAATTTCGAAAATATTTGACTGCTATTATTTGCTTTTTAAAAGATATAGCATGACATACGTACTTACTTACTTACTTTATTTACAAAAATTGGGCACCTGGGCCACTTAGCGGCCCCTATCCCATACATCTAGAAATTTACAGAAAATTTATAGTAATAACATTTTGAATTTAGCAGTCGATGTGGTAGCTAATAGAAAAACAAGCACTTTGCTTGAGTAAATATAACATTTGAATATCTGATTCATCGAATCTAAGTTGATATATATAAATATAAACATAATTTGACATATATATACATAAGTTGACATAAATAAATAATAACATAAATTGATACATATTTCACTAATTAAATTTCTATATTTTAACTAGCACATATTTAATTGTGACATACATTGAAGTTCATTCGAATACATTGTGGTAACCATAAAAAAAATTAAGCCGTTTGCTTGTGAAATAATAAAACAATGAAATTTAATATGACAAATTGACTTAACACTAGAAATATTGATTGTAGACTTAAATTAAAAATAAAGATAAAACATGATTTGATATGTACAGTAATTGATTTTTGAAAAATGAAAGGCATAATTGATGAATATAGATAAATCATACCTTGATACATGATGAAATAACATATTTGGAGAAAATGCAGTGAATATATTTTATCAGAGAAGTATTGCTCATTAAATACAATAGAATTTTCAAAAGAATTTAACATGCAAAGTTGATATATATGTATGCATAAATTGGTTATATTATCAGAAAATAATTCTTAATGTAATTTAATTTAACTTAAGTAAAAGTCTGATGTGAAAAGTTCAGTGAATTTAACTTGAGAATCTTGAAAATAAAAGTAGAACTCACTGGGATTGAGATGATGACATACGTACTATAATGTGGCGAATTGCATAAGCCTACGAATTATTTAGAAATAGTGGTGGATAAAAATCTACTAAATTGAATTTATTAAACCAAGAATCACAACTAATAAACAACCACTTGAAAATATATATTTGCTGCCCGGAGCAAGTTGGCATCTCTGCAGCCATTTCACACCTGCCTACTTTCACTCTTTCCGAGAACGGATTTTCAGAGTGGTTGTAAAACAATAAACGAAAAACAACCTGTCTCAAAAATATATTTTGGTTTTGATACCGTTGATATTCGCTTGCGCAAGGATTATTATGCTTTTATATATTTATTGCAATTATTTGTATGTAGTGGTGGTCAAACTCATGTATAATTATCATTATAATTCAAAAAGTTAATTGGAATAACCTGAGTACTGCTACCACTTTAAATATGAAAATAAAATCTTCGGGAAAATCCGGAAGAGTTGGCAGGTATGCCATTTCAACATATTGCATTTTTTTAATCTCATGCAATAATGATAAAATTAAGGAAAACAATTTTTGCTGCATCTATGTACTTGAATAGGTACTTGCATTACGTACCTAATACAAGTACATGCCTTGCATTAGGTACTTGATCTTACCGAATTTGAGCGTGGGAACTTCAAAACTGAAATTAGTTTTGTTCCGAAAGCTGCAGATGTTTAATCAAAATGATATTTTTAGTTTATTTATTGTGCCGGCCAGGTTGTCGAGCGGTCAGCGTGCCTGACTGCGAAACAAATGGTTGCGAGTTCGAATCCAGATCAGGGCATGGATGTTCCTCTCTGTCTGCTGTCCTCTGATGTATAAATGGGGATCACCACTATCTGTGGCAGTGTGATATGGTAATGTAGCTCGCCTCCGGGACTTAGGTTCAAAGGTGACAAAACGGTTGCGCTAAATGGGCAAGAATTCCGGCATCTATTGAGGTGAAGAAAAGGAAGTTCAACCCCTGCCGTTAAAAAAAAAAGTTTATTTGTTGACTGAATGCACAAATTTATAAGGAACGAATAGATTTATATACAACATACGTATACACTTGTCTGCTCTTTAGAAAATAACACCCAAGACAAAAACATATGATCCTAACGTATCGCATCATAAATTGAAAGTTATTATCGTCTTTTTCCAACCACTCCCTACGTAGCGGAAAAGTGGGGACATCTAGTATTCACTAGTCTGAATTTTTTTAAAAATCTCAGATAGGAATATATTGTGAATTGCTTAAAAACTGTAGCTTGAAAAACCGATTGCAGATGTGAAATCAGCACCTCCAACTATTTAATATACTTTCAGAAATCTCATGCAACAGGAAAAAAATCCTTGATTGTCAAATTTAAAAGAACTTGGTATTGTAAGCGGAAAAAAAATTTAGTGGTTAAGCATAATTGTTTACCACATATTCAGCTCATTTATCTTTTTCAATGTTTGATATCCTTGAATTATTTAGGAAAAATATTATTTTGTTGTATTACACTACTTATATTGATGATAAAAACATCAATATTTTGTTCAAAAATTTATCAGATACTTAGTTTCAAAAGTGTAGCTGAAAGTAGAAAATATAAATTTGTCAAAATACAAATACATAGCTGCCAACTTTATAAATGTTTTCTAGCAATTGTGAATTAAATGTTTTCGTGGTTTTTTTTTTTTTTTTTTTTTTTTTTCTTACATAAATGTGCTTAGCATCTTTTAAATGAGACAATTTCTTTTAAAAAAGGAGAAAAGTGGTGGCACAAGTGGTCAATTGCTTGAACTAATTTTGTAGAAAAAATGTAGCGCTGTCATTAGTCATCATATATTAATAGTATAAACGTTTATACTTGAATATGAAAAAAGACACGTTGCTTTTTTAAAGTGGTTAGTTACAGAAAGAAATATCCACTTGGTGTAAGCCAATAATGTTCTACTACTTTTAGCAGATAGTAGTTTTACCGATGTATGCATAAATGGGTTATTAAATTTTATTTATCTCTTTATTCACCAAATTATTTAAAAGACATCATAAATGAGGAAAATTCCCCCTCCCCCTCATAATAAATAATTGCTATTTTACCTTTTTGCAAATTGTTTTTTAAAATGCAGTATTACTTTCTAAGTTTTTAATTTAGAAATTTAAGGTCCAGTCAGGATTTTTTGTAAAACTGATGACACTTTGAGAGCAGAAATTGTACTGTGAAGAGTTATAAAATACTTCTGTATATATTTTTTATTTGCCGACCGGTGTACATGGTGGTCAGGGGGCTGACCTTATGTCTAAAAGGTCCCGGGTTCGACTCTCCATCAGAGGCGTGGATGTTTCTTTCTTCCTCTCTGTGCTATCTGCCCTTCTTATGGTGGGGATAACGTTGGGGCACCTATTATGGTGCCCTCTGAAAGAGTGATCAACAATATGTGGATAGATAATTTTTTTAAAAAACTACTTGGCAAAACTGTTTTCACAATTTCAAAGATCATACTTGAAGCTTTAATTGATGTCATTTTTACACACTTGAAATTAAGATTGACCAAAATGAATGTAAAATGCAAAAAGTTTTTTTTTTTAAACTTTCACTATAATTAAAAAATCATTTTTTTAAAATTATATAACTAGCATAATACTGTTATAAACGAATAAAAACTTTGCCTCAAATGCCCATTTCTACAACAACGAACGAACGAGTTTTTTCAAAAGCAAAATCATTATCTATTACACTTAACAAATCTAGAATGGTATAATATTTAAACTTTAGTACCTGGATTAGATTTTTTAGAAAAAACTGTCATATCTTACTGACAGCATACATAATCGATTTAAAATACATGATAATGACAACATACATTATCGATTAGATACCGCTGAACACTTTTTGGTAATTCGGTCTCTATGGAAACTCAAATATAACTTTTAGATATTAACACTTAATAGATTTCAAACCTAAAAATTGGTTTAAGAAGAGTCCTAATTTTTTGAAACCATGTCAACCTTCCAAGGAACACTAGATTTCCGCTGAACACCTTTTAGGAATTTAGTTTCCATGGAAACTCAAATAAACAAATAAAACTGTTAAATATATTGCCGCTTTATAGGTTTCAAATATAAAAACAGGTTGAAGAAGAGTCCTTATTTTTTGAAACCATGTCAACCTTCCAAGGAACACTAGATTTCCGCTGAGCACCTTTTAGGAATTTAATTTCTATGGAAACTCAAATAAACACATAAAACTGTTAAATATATTGCCGCTTTATAGGTTTCAAATATAAAAATTGGTTGAAGAAGAGTCCTAATTTTTTGAAACCATGTCAACCTTCCAAGGAACACTAGATTTCCGCNTTGTAATCCAACTGCAGTTGAGTTGGACGGCAATTGTAGTTCAAGATGAGCGTTCGATGACGTATACTATCAAACTCACAAATGGACCAATCAGAGGTTAGCGCTGATTTCCTGCTGACGGCGTCCTGTCCTAAGAAACCAGGCCTTAAGACAAAAACATATGATCCTAACGTATAGCATCATAAATTGAAAGTTATTATCGTCTTTTTCCAACCACTACCTACGTAGCGGAAAAGTGGGGACATCTAGTATTCACTAGTCTAAATTTTTAAAAAAAAATCCCGGATAGGAATATATTATGAATTGCTTAAAAACTGTAGCTTGAAAAGCCAATTGCAGATTTGAAATCAGCACCTCCAACTATTTAATATACTTTCAGAAATCTCATGCAACAGGAAAAAAGTCCTTGATTGTCAATTTTAAAAGAACTTGGTATTGTAAGCGAAAACAATTTAGTGGTTAAGCATAATTGTTTACTACATATTCAGCTCATTTATCCTTTTCAATGTTTGATATCCTTGAATTATTTAGGAAAAATATTATTTCGTTGTATTATATTACTTATATTGATGATAAAAACATCAATATTTTGTAGAATGGGTTAACATTAAAACTTTAGTACCTCAATTAGATTATTAAAAAAAACTGTCATATCTTACTAACAGCATACATAATCGATTAAAACTACATGGATAATGACAACATACATTATCGATTAGAAATACATGGATAATGACAACATATATTATCGATTAGAAATACATGGATACCGCTGAACACTTTTTGGGAATTCGGTCTCTATGGAAACTCAAATATAACTTTTAGATATTAACGCTTAATAGGTTTCAAATATAAAAATTGGTTGAAGAAGAGTCCTAATTTTTTGAAACTATGTCAACCTTCCAAGGAACACTAGAGTTCCGCTGAACACCTTTTAGGAATTTAATTTCCATGGAAACTCAAATAAACAAATAAAACTGTTAAATATATTGCCGCTTTATAGGTTTCAAATATAAAAATTGGTTGAGGAAGAGTCCTAATTTTTTGAAACCATGTCAACCTTCCTAGGAACGCTAGAGTTCCGCTGAACACCTTTTGGGGGAGCGAGTTTCTTCGAAAACTGAAATAAACAAATATTAATACATTTTTGCTATAAAACTTTTAAATATTACGGCTTAATAAGTTTGTTTTGCTGATCTCTTTTTAATTTTCGTTACTTTTCAGATAAAGAGTATTGAGGAAATCACAGTTCATTACCAGCAAGCATCAATGGTTGAAAAGATAAGATTACAGAAGATAAGATAATTTACAGAAATGGATATTTTTTGACAATGGATATTTATTTATTGAACTAGTAGTTGAAATGATCTTTAGAATACGAACCTTTGTCCTTTTCCGTTATTCAATAGTTTATTAAAACAATAAGGAATGTAAGAAAAGTGTATTTATTAATAATTCATTTATTTTTTGTGACAAACAATTTCACACAGTTTAATGAATTGATATTGGCCAAAAGGAAACAAATAAGTTACGTGATGAATACTGAAGCAGGTAGGATTATAGTATACAACTATCGACGCACGGATGTTACGGGCGGCTGAAAATGTAAAACGTGGCGACTAATTAATTAAAAAGATCCATTAAAATTAACAATTTTTTTTCTAGCATATTTCTTTCAGTTCTTAAGAGAATGCTAAGAATATTTTCGCTTTAAATGCTAAAAATTTGTAATTTAAGTGTCTGTTCGATTTTCATTTGAATTATTAATTAGATTAAATAAATATACATGAATCTACCACTTTTTACAATTTTAGTAGCCCGTGTCATTTCTGTTGACGTCATTTAGGATAGATATTTCTAATATTTAGTAAATCTAAAATAATGGTTCCCAAGGTTACCACAAGTCTTAGAAATTTTAATAAAATGGTAACAAAATGAAAACATTTAATGTATTTGTAACACTGCTGTGCGTTATTTTATTAAATAAAATATATCTGTTTGAAAACTTTAATCTTTCTCATAGTATTAACATACCTGCCAACTTTCACTCTTTCCGAGAATGGACTTTCAGAGTGGTTGTAATGCAATTGACGAAAAACAATCTGACTCAAAAGTACATTTATATTTTGATCCTGTTGAAATTCGTTTGCGCAATGATTATTCTGCTTTTATATATTTATTGTAATTATTTATATGTAGTGGTGGTCAAGCTCATTTATAATTATGATTATAATTCAAAAAGTTAATTGGAATAACATGATAATTGCTACCACATTAAATATGAAAATAAAATGTTCGGGAAAATCCGGAAGAGTTGGCAGGTATGGTATTGCTGAAGATAATTAAATTAAATTTATCCACAAATACAAACTTAAATTTACTACCATCATTAAGCATTTTTAATTCCACTGAAAACCTTAGTACCAATTAATTTAGTCAGAAAGTGCGAGGAACAAACTAATTTCACATTAATATATTTTCATTTCTTGTTTTTTCATGAGTGTAGAATTTAGATTTATTTATTGACAACCACGCTAGTGGATGAAGCAGGCAAGTGATATTTCCAGAATGGCTAAATTAAAGTGAAAGCAGAAACCATTTTGTAACATTAAACACACCAATAATGATGCGACTACTTTATGTTATTTTCCCAGATTTATAAATGCCCATGAAAAAGTCACTTGCCTGCTTCATCCACTCAGCTCTTCAAATATGATGATTAACCTCTTCGAGATAGGTGAGTCATCTATGCATTTTCCGCTGGCGGCAATCAAGGTAAAACTGGTAACCAAACTAATATTTATAGGTGGGAGGGGTACTAATAGTTCGATTTATTTATTTATATCACCACCACTACTTCGGTCAAAATAAAAATTGAAACTAGCTAGCGTTGATTTGATATTGCGCTTCGACGAATTATTATTTATTCCCACTCAGATGAATTAGTTAGAGCCCTTGGCGGGGCTGATGCTAAGATAACCGCCACATACGAGATGAGTTGATTTGATATCTGATTAGATAAACAACGAGTAAGGTGAAAGCAAATTAGATACCACTTTTAATTTATTTGTATCCTGGTTTAGATTTTGTACGAATGCTTTTGTTAATTACACATTCCGAAAAGGATAATAAATGATATTTTAAGTTTCAAAATTCGACACAAAAATGGCCTTTTATTTTCAGCGGTTTTGAATTTTCGACCCTCAAAATGTGGAAGGTGCCATAATCTGGGAAATTGGGTCCCAATAGCTATGGCCGGAAAGTTTCGATCTTTTAATGTTTTATTCATTTTTATAGTTTGATTTTCCCCCGAAACTTTTTACATGAATCGAAAAGTTTTGGCACACGAATATAAAAGAATTAACAGAACTATGCAATATTAATTCTCTCAATGAAGCACCTGTTAAAAAAATGATTCTTTTCATAAAATCAGGCTAGGTAGCAACCACAACGACTGCCAACCATTACGAATGCTTATAAACAGTAGGCCTAACATGATGAATGGGATAAGGGCCCAGTTGAAACCGCAAGACTGGGACTAAATTTATCTGGATCGCCTACTTACTGCTCTTTTTTGGGGGAAAAATTTCTAGTTGTTTTCAAAGTTCATACTTTAACCCTTTCGCACCGGACGGGACATGTGCTGTCCCAGTCCATGGGTGAAAGCCCTTATATAGCAAGACGGAAAAGAGAAAAACCTGGTACGTAAAACATTTCATTCCAGCATTTTTTTCGAGAAAAATGAAATATCTGTAACTATCAAGATTTCTTTTATAATTCTGGCATATATATAAAACTGCTGCTTTTCCAAGATAAAGTAGATATTGTTGAAAAATTTAAAAAAAGAATAAGTAAACTCCTCCCCAAAACTAGCTATAACTGAAATGGTTTTACTACCAGCCTTTCCTCTTTTCCGTCTCGCTTTCACCCCTGCTGATTTTTCGCCGTATTGAAAGGGTTAATGTATTTTCCTTTGTTTTTGAAAATCAATTTAAAGTTATTTTCCACACCACTACATGAACAGGGCTGCCAACTTTATACGCCTTATTGTAAAAATTTATTCTAGTGGTAGATAAATTTATGTTTTAGTGCATTATTTTTTTTTTCATCTAAACTTATTTTTCCACACCACTACATACAAATGGTTTAGAAGTTTATGCAAAGCCACTTTGTTACAGGTCTATCGTGGTATGGCTATTAAAATGTGGACAAAATTATCAAATTTTCTGAAAGCTTTGGTTTTTAAGTGTTTACCACTGAATAAAGATTTTACAAAAAGCTTAGTAGTTGGTTGGCCTGTATGAAAATAAATCAAAAATTACTATGAAATGTCACGTTATTCAAGTTTTCTCGTAGTGAGGCTTTTAATGTTAACAAAACAGCTAAAAGTTCTGAAAGCTTTAATTTCTCTACCACTCTTTCAAATATTCAGGAAAAAGCGTAGAAGTTTGCAGCCCCTGCTACTTAATTTACCTCTTTCGCCACCACTTAAAACAAAATAACATACCTTCCAACTCTCCTGGATTTTCCGGAAGATTTTATTTTCATATTTAAAGTGGTAGCAATACTCATGTTATTCGGATTAACGTTTTGAATTATAATGATAATTATAAATGAGTTTGACTACCACTACATATAAATAATTACAATAAATATGTAAAAGCATAATAATTCAAACACAAGCGAATTTCAACAGGAACAAAATATAATATAAATATATTTTTGAGTCAGATTATTGATTTTCAACCACTCTGAAAATCCAATCTCGGAAAGTTGGCAGGTATGAAATAACTAGATGGTCCTCTTCATGTATGTTTAAACTATTTAAATGTAATGGTAGTTAAAATTATATTAAATGAAAGTTTCTAAAAAGAGAATCAAGTAAAAATTGTGCTACCACATTAAATATAAGCATAAAATCTTCCGCTAAATCCGAAGAGTTAGCATATATGAGACACTAATAACATAAAATATCTTTCTTTGTCTGGAACTTGTACCCACTATAAAAAATTTCACTGACCGCAGCAACCCTGTATCGGTGTATGCAACAACGTGCAAGCTGCTTACTTGTACACATTCATTAGAAATTCTTTAAAAGGTTAGTAGTAAAACAATAACTAAAATATATGTGTTTTGGGTCCACTTAACCCTTTACGGGTATACAACTTTCGATTAAAAATTTTAATTAAGCATGACATTAGAAAGTGCGACTTAGGACTCTCCGTGAATTGACATACTTTAAATTTTTGTTCTTTAAATAGTCCTGTCGGTTGGTCGGGGTACCTGAGGCCGAAGTGACCCTTTCATCATGAATTGAAGGATTGTTGTGGGGGTTCTTTACGGTCCTTGTTGCCTAAAAATAAAAGTAGGGAAATAATTATGAGCACATTGCTCGAGTAATATCATTAAATAATGATGCATTTTTTTTTAACATTACATACAGATAAATAATGGAGAAAAAGAATAATAAAAGTATACTACCTTTTAGAAGTTTGTCAAACTCAATTGTACATCTCTCAAGTACAATACACTTAACTAATCAAGTACTTAAGCCTTTATATTAGATGGACCATAAATTGCTTAAACTAATTCTTTTTATCCACTGTAGAAAGAATCAAAAAAATTTTTGTTGCTGATATGCACAGAATAAAATTGCGTATAATGATCAATCATTAAATAAATAAATAACTTTGATTACGTTCAAACATATTACAATCATACATAAACTTGGTATTATGTTAATATTTGCTTTCCCTCTTTACAGTATTAGCAGTTTAAAAGAATTTCTGGTAACACTTCAATGTCCTGGCATTCATAAGCCAGGATAATGACAAATTAGACATTTTACTTCATTTAACTTTACTGTAATCCTGAAGGTGGTCTGAGGTATGTGGTACCAAGCGCTCACACACTGGTCCTGCAATTCCCTTACATTGCGAGGGGCAGCACGAATTTGGTTTTCAAAGTAGGACCACAAATACTCTATTGGATTAAGGTCAGGTGAATTTGGGGGCCAAGGCATGGCTTGAAAGTCACTGGAATGTTCCTCGACGATTCGACCCTTATGACATGGTGCATTATCCTGTTGGTAAACACCCGCAGGAAAAACTGTTACCATGAATGGGTGAACCTGGTTTGCAACTATTGAAGTAGCTTACAGACGTCAGGGATTGTTCTATGAGGATTATGGATCCTAATGTGCCCCATGGAAAACATTGTTCCTGGGCGAGAAACCATGAAAATCTGGGCGTGTCCATTGTTATAGATGGAGGGTGGTCATAATGTAATGGCTCTTCGGTGTATATAACACTCTAGGTATTATGTAACGCTCTATGTATATTTAACACAATATGTATATACACTACACTACGTATATATAACACTCTATGCTTATATAACAACACTACGTATATATAACAGACTATGTATATATAGCACTCTAGGTATTTATAACAGAGTATGTATATACAACACTCTAGTAAATATAACACTCTCGGTATATCTAGCACTCTAGGTATATATAACACACTATATATATATCGCACTTTAATTGCTCAAAATCATCTATGAAATCATGGGGTACGCGGAGAGCAACGGGGTAGTGAAGTGAAATGAAGTTTTTGGGTTTTTTGATTTCGTTGTCTTCGAGTGGAAATGAGTGGAATAATAGCCAGCATGTTGGTATTACTAAACCATGTGAGACAAATAGTCTGAATTTCTTGACCACTTTAGTTTGTGATCAAGAATTAGTTTTGTGTTGTTACCTTCTGATAATTTTGTTACCAAGGTGCACAACATACATATGGGTGATAAAATACGAACACTCATATACTAACTGTACGTAAACAGTCTTTCTCTTATCAAATCTTTTGAAAAAGTTGCCAAAATTCTTAATACAAATTGAAAGGGGCTGATATTTCTTTGCATTATTTTATTTAACATTACCTACTTCGAAATTAAAATCATGCAAGCGTACTCAAAATTTATTTGGAATAGTTTTGTTCATTACTAAAGCAAAAACATAAAGCAAAAACATTTCTCCTGCATTAAATGTTCCTATATTGATGAAACTCTTTATGTTATATCCTCTGCTTAAGGAATACCCCTAAACATACCGATTAACTGTTTTATCAACTAAGTTGTTTAATTATGGCTTATGCCTTTCTCTCCCTTTTACTGAGGCAGCTCCAATTTAACCAGAAAAGAAAAAATACATATCTGTATTGAGCCGCGAATACTTATTCAGTTATTTTCTCTGATTAATAAATACTCATGAAAATGTTACTTGCCTAACTGTGCTCTTCAATTAATAGTAAGTTACTTGATCAATAGTATATTTGAGTCATAAGGCTTGGATATAAGTACATGAAAATCCTTATTAAAACATACATATTCTAGTTCACATTTTTTTTATTTGCCCCTTTTTAAACCTTAAATTCATAACACTTTAATTTTTGTCAACCGGATTCCATAAGAAATTCCTAATTCATGGTTCCCAAAGGCCTTCAGAATTCTCAAAAAAAGTTCAGTTAGTGAATCAAACATCAGTACATAATGGTAAAAACCTTAACATATTATTTTTCAACAAAAAATTACTACCATCAATAATTTCTAAAGCTCATGGAAACTCTGCAGTTATAAAAATTAAATAGATATATGACGCGTTGTCTATCCACCAGAAATGATCATTAATTATTGTTTGGGAAGTGCCAGTTAACTACTCAGATTAAAGGCCTGCCAACAACTGGGCTTTTTGAAAAAATACTTAATAGAGTGGTAGACATTTAAAAACTAAAGATAATGCTTTTCAAAAATAATATAAAAATTGTTTACGCTATGCAAAATAAGGATACCGCAAAAAGAAGTTTTTAAATATATTCTCTATCATATAAAAATAACAACAGCGTTTTATAGGAATTTTTTAACGAATTTAATAATATCAAAAAAAAAAAAAAAAAANAAAAAAAAAAAAAACAATTGCGGTAAGTAAAAAGAACAAGAGTTGCTAAATAATGTTTTATGTTCAATGTTTTGTTTAAAAGAAGATTAGCTTTCCATGATCTCTTTCTTTATAAATTGCTATGTCATTCCTCGGTTGTTAAAGTAACATCGAAACAATTACATTATATTAAACATGCCCTTATTGTTGAGACCACTTAATGTTGTGTTCCCTGATCGTAATGTTTCATTCTGTTCTGTTTTCTCCCATGCATATGCGATTTGTCCATGTGATCAAAGTAATTTTATTCTAAACCTACTTAAACTTTCTCTAATTACTCTATAGCCAATAACTGGACAAATAACATATTGTCATATGAGACTTGTCCTGGTGATCAAAGTAATTTTATTCTAAACCTTATTAAACTTTCTCTAATTGATTTCGAAAACTAAACCAGAACTGGTTTTTCAGCCAGGTGGAGAATAAAATTTTTTTTTTTTGGTGCCATGGATGGTGTTTTCAATATTAATGTGAACTATAACAATCTCGAGCTCAATACCTGCTCTAGTTCTGATTAGAAAGTTTGCAACTGCTTACTACAGCTTATTCTGCGAGGCGATATTTTCGAACGGTAAGTTTTGTTTTCAATAAAGGAAGATAATTTCTGAGCTCAAACCTGCCATATTTCATAAGATATTAATGTTATTAAATAATTCTGATGAGTTTGAAGTGAAAATTTGTTTTGGTTATTTATAGATATATTGTTAAAAAAAGTGGCATGGTTGCTAGATTTTGAATAACTCGCTTTTTTGGCAGTCCTAATTTGGCCTCTTTCCATTTGTTTATTACTGTTTGCTCTTGTTGCAAGCTGTGCACCATCTTACGTTAGTGTTAGCACTTTTAGCATTGTAAACACAAGTATTGTTAGCCTTGTAAACAAAAGTAATAAGTAATCAAATACCACGTTTGCAGTCCCGCAGTGGACTGATCGTTCCCAGCAGATCACCGAAGTCAAACATCACTGGCTGCGGTCAGTGTGCGGGTGGGTGACCACTTGGATCTGTCTGCGCAGGGACCGAGGGTGTGCGGTATTGGTCCTCGTTAAACTGTGCTACCGTAAAGTGCTCGACTTCGTGCAGGTCGTCGGGCTACCGAAGCGGGGGTGCCATCCCCTCCGCAGAGGATCAAAATTGTGATGGCATGTCTTCGGATCATCCTCCGGGATGTGTCCCAGACCGTCGCCAATAGCCCATTGTGCAGCTCTAGTGCGACAACAATAACAACAACAACCACGTTTGCAAGATTCTCTAAACACAATGATCACGTTGTGAGCCAAATATATTTGGCTATAGCTTTGAAATACACTGTAAGTAGTAACCTGCTGGAAGTATAAGCGGTATGGAGCTTGCAGCGTTTCGTAGTGTAGAAAACACCATCCATTTAAAAAAAAAAAAAAAACTAATTTTAAGTAAAAATAAAGAAACAAAATAAGAAATGAAATTATTTTATTTTATTTTCTTAATGCAAATTGCAATAAAATACTTGTTAAAACTAAAATTTTGATTGATATAATTAATTTAAAATCTATGATGATAGTCGTGCAATAATATCTGATATCGAAAAATGTCAACATCTCCCTCCTCACGATCTTTACTTAAGCAGAATTGGTTGGCTTTAAAATGAAAAGATTACAATTCAGATGAAAGTATATCGATTAGATATGTTCACTATTTTCGATACGATAACCGAATATCACTCCCCGTCTGTTGATTTTTAACCCGGAGCAGGATAAAATTTCTAAATTATCAGGTCATTCTTAGAATTTTTGAATTTATTTAATATTCCTAATTTCTGTGAGAATTTTCGCCTAAATCAAATATGTCACTTTTAAAAATTCACCGTATATTTAGGAAAACTAAATTGAATTTGTATATGTCTTCAAAGGGTATGTAAAACTTACCTAAAATGTATTTTGCAAAATCACTAAATAATTACTCATGTGTTTATTTAGTGTTAAATGTCTTGTAATAATTTTACTTTTTACATATTTATCTTTACAGTTTGATGCCGGATTCGGTTAAGCACACAGCTTTTCTATCACTTTAGAGCATTGAATTTTATGTTTAATATTCATCAAGTTTTATATTTTGATAATTTCCATTGATATTGGCAATGGATTATTTTAAGCAAGTTTAAGGAAAATAGAGATGAACTAAATTTAATTATATGAAAATATCTTGATTACAGAATATTAATTTGCAAGTTGTGTGTTTAACAATTTAGTGCCTATTTCAATGTTCACACAATTTAGTGCTTTATTCCTTGTTATGTGCAATTTATTTTAGTTGTTAATTATATGCTAGTTACCTTGTGATCTTATCAGAAAATAAAATAATATCGATCTGAATTTTGATTCTGTCAATATATATGTTTAATTATTTCATTTGTTTTTAATTTTCAGCTCAACTACATATCAAACAAGAAATTAAAAATGGTGTGGCTATTGTTCGAATCGATTCACCTAATTCTAAGGTAATAAACTTATCTTTAAACTGTAAAAAAATCTATTTCACATATATCTATTTCACAAAAATCTATGTCAGGATAGATTATTGCCTTCAAGTTCATCAATTTTGTTTCTTTAATATCAATTTTATTGGTTTTCAGCCTTATTTCTCAATTTGCTATGCATTTAGAAAAATTGCTTGTAAATATTTTAATATGATGTTAATAGAATTACCGATTTTTTGTTATTTTGTATATATATATCATTAATAAACATGTATAATACCTTTTAATATGATAAAAATCAAATGTATTGTATTTTTATTGTTTGTTTTCTAATTAAGGTTTAATGATAAATTCTTGGTTCCTCATCAAATGTTTCATTCAGACATTAGATTAAAAGTTAAGGAGTTAAGTTACGTTGACAACATTATTTTATTGCATTACAAAAATGAGGATTTCAGTTTTTAATCATTTTCTTCAATAGAATTGTTACTCTTAATTTTGTAAGTTTCTATAATATTTCCTTTTTTTATAAATTTGTTTATATTAATTATAAGCGTGTATTGTATTAATATTTAATTTTTTCTTAAATTTATTTACCATAATAAATGTTTTGTGTTATAATAAAAGTTAAGGTCATCGGCAGTGGGGAGGGCATTCCTTTAGCAGATCAAACTGATGGACATGACTTCGGATCATCCTCAGGGATGTGTCTCTGAGGTTCACTAACATAGCTCTGGTGCAACGTAAATTAAGTACTACCTACTATTAAGAAAAGAAAAATTAAATTGTAAAGATGTGTATATTTTCTGTCTGATTTTGTCCTCTTAAGGTTGTTTGTATGAAGCTAAACACATGCTTCATTTTGTTTTCTATTAATCATGAAATCAAAAATTAATAAATTCTTTTTTTGGAACTGTTGAATTTCTTTACATTTGTAATTTTTGTGAAAGTTTTTTTTGGAACTGTTGAATTTCTTTACATTTGTAATTTTTGTGAAAGTTTCTAAACGAAACATGATCTTAGAAATCGTGCCAATTACTATTCAATTTGCTAATTATAGGATAGTAGACATTTGAAAACCAAAGTTTTCAGAATTTTTGCTAATTTTGGCAGAAATTTTAAAATCCTTACCTTATTAGAGATGGAACAAAGCGGCATTGCATATGAACTTTTAAATTATTTATATGTAGTGGTGTGGAAAATAAGTTAAAATCAATAAAAAATAATGCATTAAAACATAAACTTATGTAACACTAGTATAAATTTTCACCAAAGCGTAGAAAGTTGGCAGCCTGTTTTAAGATGTCATTTTCGAACCTTTCAAGCAAAAATTTTAATCATAAAACACAGTTTTTTTTTAGTTAAATATTTTTCAAGTTGCTCCCCATCTTATTTTACCAAACATTCAAACTTTATGATATCCAAGCAATAACAAATTTCTGTTTTTACTGATCGAGACGTGATTTCAAATTATTTGTACTTCAATAGTATTGTTATTGTAACAATTTGTGTAAGTAGCTATTCTCTTAAAGAAAAAGGAATGATTTCTTCTAATATACTTGTGTTTATTTATCTTTTACTTTTTCAACAATAATTTGTTTTTAAGGTAAACACACTTTCTAAAGCTGTCATGGAAGAAGTTCAACAAGTATTAAAAAACATATCATCAGACGCCAGTGTAACTAGCGCAGTCATAATATCAGGCAAACCTGGAAATTTTATTGCTGGTGCAGATATTGGGTAAACACATTTGCATGATACTTTTATGATCTTGTATTATCTCTGTCTTAGACATAAAATAAATTATAACTTAAAATTTTATTTTTATTAAAGCTTTTTAATTCAAATGATTTTTCTTTTTTATATGAGTAAATTTTTAAGATGACCTTCTTGGATCTACAATATTTCATTCCGAAATTGGTAGTTTTGCTATTTTTATAATTGAAGGAATAATAAAAAATATTTTAAATTTACATAAAAAGATGTAAAAAAAAATTTCTCTCCTTTATAAAATACCCATTTCTAAAGTTAAAAATATATATTTATAAAGTATAAGAATTTTTCAACCTAAATGTGTTGGTTAAAACAGACAGTATGGAGAAAAAATTGTTAAGGGGTAAGTCAATTATAAAACAGAAAAAGCAGTTCGTTAGCCGAATGGTTACAGGGAAAAAAATCTTCAAAAGAGGCTATGTCATGATTGGATAAAGATAATTGATATACAATGGAATTTACTTCTGCATAAATCTCTTTCCCCTTAAATTTTTAACCACTGATCTTTCTGTAGGTAACAAAATTAAAGAACATTTGTTAAAGTTAGCCTTTTCATTAATTTCGTCACAGTAACATTCAATCAATAAATATAAAAAATTACTCTAAATAATTTTCAGACATATAATGCACAATCTTCATGTTCGGAGATCTATTTTGAAAAAATGATTCACATTAACATTACTATAAAATTAATATGCATTGAAATCGATAGAAATTTATTTGAAATCGGATAAGTTTTCTCTTTTTTTTTGTTGTGCAAGTGAATTAACGTTTTTCTATTAGTTGCTTTCATGTAAAGACCTTGCAATTGAAATTGTTTGCAAACTTTCATATTTATGAAAACAGATTACATTGATTAAAAATTCAGATTTAAATTACATTGAAACTATCTAAAAAAATGCACAAATTAGTGTTGCTTCTTGAGCTACTGCTATTAATATACAATCTATCAAAATTAGGATAAGAGGGGAAAAAAAATATGTGTTGATATATTATAGAAATAGCTCATTTTTGTCTTGGTATTGAAATGTTTTTCTTTTTGCTCAGAATGTTAGAATCCTGTAAAAGTAAGGAAGAAGTTATGCAACTATCCAAAGCAGGTCAAGATGTTTTAAATGAAATTGAAAGCAGTCCGAAACCGATTGTTGCAGCTATATCTGGTACTTGTCTTGGTGGGGGTCTGGAAGTAAGTAGAAAGTCATGGACTTTTTTCTTAAATTTTTTTAGTTTTAAATAATGGATGTAAGAAACTCATACTTGGGGACTAAACACTGAGGGTTATGTGTTTATCTGACCACCCAACTGAAAAATCTCCAATACTGCAGAGCCCAAGGTCAGGAAAACTGGGATGAACTCAGTAGGCCTTGGCTCTCAGTGGACTGTCATGCCTCTGAGTTGAGTTTAGTTTTAAAAGAAAAAGTCTGCAGTTATAATGTGTGCTAAAGAAAACTTGTACTATTCACCACATTTTCTGTTTTGTATTCTTGTTTCTCTTACAATATTTTAAGATTATTTTGGAGGAATGTAATATTTCATTTGAATTTATTTTAATTTTTAATATTTGCCATTATAACTCACTGTGCTAAAGGTTAATTACTAGATGTTTTAAAAAAAATAGGGATTAAAATTTGCATTTCTGCTGATGCTCTTTTCTTATTATGATGTCTATTGATGCAGTTATCTGTATATTTTTTTCAAGCAGAAAATTCGATTATAAATATCTAAAATTAGCAAACTAAACAAGGCTAATAAAACTTTAACTTAAATAAAATTAGGAAAGATGCTTTGCAATTTTAAATATTTTTTAAAAAAATCATGTTACTAAATTTTTTAAAGAAATTTTTTTTTATTAGTTGTTTTTCAGCAATATTTGCTTTTAACTCCTTTTATCTACATAGTTTAGATAAAAAATATTTGTTTATGGCTCCATTTTAATGTTGATATAATGATGTGATATTGGTTCATTTATAAATTAAGTTAGAATTATTGTTTCAAATCAAAGGAATGAATTATGTTTTAAATTGTAAGTAAAAATATTAATCATTATTTAGTAAATATATTAATATGTAATATGTATAATTTTATATTAATGTATAATAATAAGTAAAAAGATCATTAAATTTTGTTTGTTAATCCAAAACATTTTTATTTATTCAGTGATATATTGTTATTTTTCACTAAAATGATTCATGAATTAAAATAGTAGATTCATTTAAGCATTCGTAAATTGCATTTTTTATTCTTTGCTTTATTAACTTTTTTAAAACAGGACTCTTGTCTAAACTATGTGGGAAACTGATGAATTGATATTAAATTCTGCTTCTCTATAACTAAAACAACTATTTAGCTTTAAAAAATTTATTAAACTCGATAATATTTAATAAATTTATGAATTTTTTTTTTAGAAAGCATTAAATTGTGATACATTGATTTTTATTAAATCTTAATTTTATACAGTGAAACCTTGGGAATGACCACTCTTTGTTCCACAGTAAAATGACCATTGATAGAGATTGGTTGTTCTTAGAGGTTGCTACCTTGACTTCAAAATTGTTATTAAAGGTACAGGGTTTATTGTAAACGATTTTTAAATTTAGTCTGAGTCATTTTCTTGGTGAGGAAATGCCACTTCTGTTAGCATCTTAAAAAGACTGATCGAGGATTGAAATTTTAAATCAATGAAAATTATCCCAATTGATATAATTATGTATAGAGACAAATTTATTAATTATGAATGATAAAACTATTTTAAGTAAACAATTATGTTTTTTGTTTAAGTTTGCATTTAATTTTATATCATAAGAATGAGGTTAGCTTTAAAAGATGAGAAGAGGTTTATTTGTTTGAGATGCTTTTTTTTTTTTTTTTAAACTTTTTTTTCTACTTTAACTTTCATCTCTAAAAAGAAATCATCGATAGCATCGTCATTAGTGCACTCTGACTGCAACATGAGATTGTATCGTCAAAAGAAAGCTCTCTAAATAAGCTCTCTATTTGACCTTTTCCACATTTGGNAATATAATGTGCTCATTAACTCGATAATTTTCTCGCGGCAGGTAATCGCAGTCTATTTGTTATAATAAAAATAAATACGTTTAATGAAAAAAATACAACAAAGAAACCTATGCTTAAAAAAATAATTTATTCTCAATTAGATAATTAAAAAAACAACCAAAATGAAGTTTAACACTAAAAAGTAGTATCAGCGAAACATTCAAGTAACTATGTTAGTGGGATGATTGTACTTAATGGTTCAGAACCAATTTCTTAACTGTCGGCTCAATACTTTTAGTGAGATGAAGACGTTAATCCCCTCGTTGCACAATTTTGAGTAGATTTCTCCTTTTTGTGATAAGATCTGTAACAACATTGATTCCACGTTCTACAAGCTAGGGGGAAGGGGAGGCAATTAAAAAATGTTTAATGATAGTCTACAGTCCAGGATAGAGACGACTGATGTTACCTTTAAGCAAAAATTCTGTGAGACGATCATCATTTCAAAGTTTACTTAGTTAAACGTTCAACCAATTCCTCGTAAATCTAAACCTCTACTGTTTCTAGGGAACAAAACATCTTGAAAACGGTCAGAAAAGTTCATGTGCAAAGAGTCAAGGTGTTGACAATATTCTTGTGAGTCATCAGAGTGAATTTCGCCTGCTAGGCTGAACTCATTCCAACCAAAATTCTGCTTCCACGAAATGAGATTTTTTAGAAAGGCAGAAATAACTGATTTTGTAGGGATCAAATTGAGCTCGTTGCCTTGAAGATGTAAATTATCACCCTTAAATTTTACAGATAAATCTGTCAAAGTCTTTCTTAAATTCTAGCAATCTGTCTCTCAGAGCTACATCTCTGTTTTCGAGGAACTCAAGCATAGAGTCGAAAAGATTCCAATACCTATTGAGACAGAAGCTTCTGGAAAGCCAGCGAATCTCTGTGTGATTGAATTCTTGAATGATTGAATTCTTTATCGTTTTTCTTTCACAGTTGTCTGAATAATCAATCGTAGAGAGCATTACAATTAATTTTGTTCGCAGCAGATATGGCATATTGCAATGATTAATGCAAACGGTTGCTGAGATTTTCCCCTACTAAATGCTGTCTGTGAATCACGCAGTGAACAGCTAAGACATCTGGTACCTTCCTTTCCAAAAGGGCAATGTCGACCCACCATTGCAGGAGCCTATCAGTGGTGATAGACATAATATTCGCAAGAGGAATGTTTTTCTCTTTAAAGTAATCTTTGAAAGTATTAAAAATTGATTTACCTTTGATATCTACAATCAACCTTCTTGCAAAAAGCATATCTTGAATAATTTTTTCTATTTTTACAAACCGGACCTATGCCTACAGTAAAGCCTACATTACCTGGCAAGGTTGATTTTTCAACTTGAAGAGAAAATTTGTTGGATATCAAAAGTTTGCGTAAAGAAATTTCAACGTCTTCAGCCAATTCATCATTTCGTCGCCGCACTGTATCGTTGCTTACGGGATATTTTTTTATTACAATGGATGCGACTGGATGGTGTAAAACTGTTTCTAAAACTTCCTTGACAAACGACAGTATCAACTCTGCTCCGATGGTATGAGCTTTCCCAGATTTAGCAATAAATTTTGATATATTATAAAAAGCTATTAAACCATCGTCGCATTTTTGTGATGAGGTTGCTAGTAACCCAGAGACCGAAGGTGCCTTCAGAAGCGTGAAAGNAGCATTACAATGAATTTTGTTCACAGCAGATATGGCATATTGCAATGATTGATGCAAACGGTTGCTGAGATTTTCTCCTACTAAATGCTTTCTGTGAATCACGCAGTGAACAGCTAAGACATCTGGTACCTTCCTTTCCAAAAGGGCAATGGCGACCCACCATTGCAGGAGCCTATCAGTGGTAATAGGCATAATATTCGCAAGAGGAATGTTTTTCTCTTTAAAATAATCTTTGAAAGTATTAAAAATAGATTTACCTTTGATATCTACAATCAAGCTTCTTGCAAAAAGCATCTCTTGAATAATTTTTCCTACCTTTACTAACCGGACCTATGCCTACAGTAAAGCCTACATTATCTGGCAAGATTGATTTATCAATTTGAAGGGAAAATTCGTTGGATATCAAAAGTTTGCGTAAAGAAATTTCAACGTCTTCAGCCAATTCATCATTTCATCGCCGCACTGTATCGTTGCTTACGGGATATTTTTTTATTACAATGGATGCGACAGGATGGTGTAAAACTGTTTTTAAAACTTCCTTGACAAACGGCAGTATCAACTCTGCTCCGATGGTATGAGCTTTTCCAGATTTAGCAATAAATTTTGATATACTATAAGAAGCTATTAAACCATCGTCGCATTTTTGTAATGAGGTTGCTAGTAACCCAGAGACCGAAGGTGCCTTCAGAAGCGTGAAAGAAGATGTTCATGAAAAATGTCAAATCTTTATTTTATTTGTCAGGATAAGTTTTTTGAAAATGCTCCTGATAACGGTAAGATTTCATTACCTCATTAGATAAAACTTTATTACAAAGTAAACACTTGGGTAGTTGAGAGTTCAACAGTGATTGAACAAATCCCAACTTCAAGTATGTGGCACTGTACTGATGACACCTCTTTTTATTAACCGACATTGTTGGTGGCAGGGGAAAAAACTGTAATGAAGGTAAGAAAAACCATTATAAGAAACACGGGTCAAATCAAAAATTCATACTGAAAGCGCGATGACTTCAATTTTCTCCAAATGGCTTGAATAAGTCAAAGGCAAAAGGTACAGACTCATGCGCTGAGGTGTGTTGGTTCGGATCGGAGAATAGGTGCTGTATAAGTTCGTTTCATTGCTGGTGCAAATGGTGCATCTGATCATCTTTATTTATTATCTTAATTTTTTTTCTCTTTAATATTAATTTTAGATTAATTTTATTTATTAAATAATTCTTAATTTAATAATTTTATTTCTAAGTTTTAAATTTGAATGACAAAACATGCTCATCGCCCCCTACCGCCCAAAACATACCCAACGCCCCCTACTGCCCAAAACAAGTTCACCGCCCCTCAGCATACTCCCAACGCCCCCAGGGGGGCGGTATCGCCCCCGTTGAGAACCAATGGTCTAAACTATGGGGGAAACTGATGAATTGCTTTTAAATTCTGCTTCTCTATAACTAAAACAACGATTTAGCTTTAAATAATTTATTAAACTTGATAATATTTAATAAATTTATGAATTTCTTTTTAGAAAGCATTAAATTGTGATACATTGATTTTTATTAAGTCTTAATTTTATACAGTGAAACCTCTTGGGAGTGACCACTCTTTGTTCCACAGTAAAATGGCCATTGATAGAGATTGGTTGTTCTTAGAGATTACTACCTTGACTTCAAAATTGTTATTGAAGGTACAGGGTTTATTGTAAACGATTTTTAAATTTAGTCTGAGTCATTTTCTTGGTGAGGAAATGCCACTTCTGTTAGCATCTTAAAAAGACGGATCGAGGAATAAAATTTTAAATCAATACAAATTATCCCAATTGATATAATTATGTATAGAGACAAATTTATTAATTATGAATGATAAAACTATTTTAAGTAAACAATTATGTTTAAGTTTGCATTTAATTTTATATCATAAAAATGAGGTTAGCTTTAAAAGATGAGAAGAGGTTTATTTGTTTGAGATGCTTATTTATTATTATTTTTTTTTTAAAAAAAACTTTTTTTTTCTACTTTAACTTTCATCTCTGAAAAGAAATCATCGATAGCATCGTCATTAGTGCGCTCTGACTGCAACATGAGATTGTATCGTCAAAAGAAAGCTCTCTAAATAAGTGCCCCAAACAAATAATTTGAATACTTTTTAATCTAAGTATTCGTTTTGTTAATATTTCTTGTTTTATTTGTTTGTTTCCCTATTTGACCTTTTCCACATTTGGTGCAGAAGTTTACCCAGTCTCTGGGAGGTCGAGGCTTTAATGGTCTCTCCTAGAGGTTTTCTTCGACACATTGCCTATGGAAAAAATTCTGTGCCTCCCAAAAGTGATCGTAAATAGAGGTGATCTTTCGTGGAGGTTTCACTGTACTAATATTTGTTAATAAATTATTTAATTCTTATCTTTGGTATATAACATACTTTATAAATATATTTTTCAGATCAAATAAGTAATTTTGAAGATTTATTTTGCTTTGTTGTTTTTCTTGTTGTATGTACTATAAAAGTATGATAGTGTGCAAAAAATGTATGATATTTTAATTCTATCATAAATAAAAATCAGCAAATCTGTAATGTAAGAAACTTATACTACTTTTGTGTTATATTGTATATTCCTACAGGTTGCTTTAGCTAGTCATTATAGAATAGCTGTTAAAGACAAAAGAACCGGTTTAGGATTACCTGAGGTTCTACTAGGACTTCTTCCAGGTGCTGGTGGTACACAGAGGCTGCCTAAATTAGTGAGTGTGTTAGTTAGAATTATTATTTTGTTAATGTTTTAAGAACTGTAACAAGAGTTGTTTTCCTTTATTTTAAATTAAAAATAATAGTAATTGCTCGTTCATTATTTTCTTTTCATATCATGCCCAAATTATTAGTTTGGTGCTATTTTTCATTTTAAAAGTAGAAATCATCATGAATCTCTTCCGAAATTTGTGAAGATGTTTAAATGTGTGAAATGTTGTGTTGAAGATGTTAAAAAATAGCATTGATCATAAAAATTGAATTCTTATTTGTTACAAGCATCATTATTCTTTATTTGAAGTAAAATTTGTTATTCATTTGATGCATTGATTGATAATTGTTCTCTCGTCTTCTGGATTAGGTTAAAAATTACAGGGCTACGGAGTTGAATATTAGTAGCCATAAACAAAAAAATTGAGTTTGCTGTTCAACAAGAAAACATAAAAATAAAATACCTTTAATACTGGACCAGGATAGCTTGGTTGGTATGGCATTGGACTAGAGTTTGAGAGAATGGGAATGAGAATCCAGCTGGTCATAGAATTCCCTTATAATAAGTGGTGACTGGTGCACATTAAATTCTTCTGGATCACGAAGTACTCCGAGTTCAAGTAACAAATTGATACCTCTGGGGGTACTGATTCAAGAGCTCCTTTGTCTTCTGGATTGGGTTCAAAACTACAAGGCCGCAGAGTTGAACATTGGTAGCCGTAAACTCAAAATTTGGATCAATTGTTTAATGACTATTATAAAATAAAATACCTTTAAATGATGAGCATGACCTTTAGTTTTGACTTTCTCATTCAAGCTTTTTTTGGTCCTTGATGATGAGGGTTTTTTTTAGTGCATGGATTGTTGTTTAGTTTCAGAATTGCACTGAAAAATTCAAATTTCTTCACGTGGGATGACTTTTTCTAACAGTTCGGGATCATTATGTGCAAATCCTCAGACAAAATTTTCTTATTGGCTCTTTATTAATGTTTGTTATATTGATATAATCCAAACACTCAGACTTCATGTACGATTTCATTATTATTTTTAATGTTTTCATCAGTTCTTGATGTCACAGGTCGACCAGAACATTCATAATCTTCAACAGCCTCCTGATCTTCCGAAAATTGTTTGTTCCAGTCAAAAATTTGACTGAGTGAAATGTATTTATCTTCAAACATCTCCTTTAACGATTCAAAACATTCAGTAAAAACTGTTTTATTTAACGAAAAGTTTAAAATTGATGTGCTGCTCTATTTTTGAGTTTATCACATCGTTGTACTTAGACATAGTGCTTTACTGGGTAAAAAACAAACTAAACTAGATAGAGGAACAGAATTGTGTGCCACATGCACCAAGGTCGACCAAAGCAGCAAGCTCAACTACATTTCATTCCCACTTCACCGCAACAAGCCTGGCAGCTAGAGTATGCTCAAACTGGTTTTTTAATTATCACTTCTTGTATGTATATTTTAATATCTGATGCCACTGACTGAAATTTCTACTTGAAAATTGCTTCATTCCAAAATCAATTTTTTATGTTCTATAAATTTGTACTTGAAAATTGTTATATTCTAAAATCAACTATATGTTATGAATTTTATGTATGATTAGCTTAATGACTGTACTAAATATTTTTATAATAACTTGAATTAAAATTTTCATCTTTCTTAAAGTTTCTAATAATGTTTTTCAAATTATTATTTTTTTTATAGATATCTTTACCTAATGCATTAGATATGATGTTAACTGGCAAAACTGTTCGAGCTGACAAAGCTAAAAAACTTGGTTTAGTTGATCTGCTTGTCGATCCTTTGGGTATGTACTCAAGAGGAATTATTAATTTTGTATCTGTGTCTAGTTTTTGAAGCTTCTTTTTTTTTATTGATTCATAGCTTCCAGTTTCTTTCTGATTCTCAGTTTCTTTCATTTCTTGATTTTTGACTATTTTATAAAAATCCTTAAAATTAGGAATGCTTCTGAAGAAAAATATCCTTTCAAAGTAGATTTTTTACTTATCCTTTTTTAAATTAACATCTCTTATGAGATTGTCATTTTTTTTAGTTTAGTTTGTTTTTGTTTTCAGAAAAATATTCGTTATATTTCATATAAGGATTGGATAAAAAATGAATAGTATAAGCGTGATTTTAAGCATAAAATGGTGAGTTGTAATAACTATGTGTAGTTATTTCATTGTAATTACACTTTTTAAGGTCATTTTTTCTCCCCTCAATAAAAGTTAATGCTTGAGAATTTTATACATTGAACTTTACGATTATAATTACATCATTCTAAACTGATAATTAAATTCACTGAAAAATTTTCTTCCCTCTGTAAGGTAATTCCACATAAAATCATAAGAAAAGTGTAGTATAAAGTTTTTAAAAAAAATGGTATATAGTTTAAAATTGGAAGAGTACAATATTTTTTCTTTTTTGAAATGAATTTCATCTAACTATAAAATAGCGTTATTGATAGTTTTTACTATTTACTACGTTTTTCTATAGAATTTTTCTTTTTCAATTCATTTCTTAGCTTCAAAAATTGCATACGTGACTACTTATTGTGACACTATTTTCAATTTTAATGACATTTTTTTAGGCAAATACAAAATTCAATGTGTTTACTATAAGGTGGCTAGGAAATTATATATATAAATATATAAGTTGATTATATTAATTAAAAATATTTGTTTTCTTTAGGTCCTGGTTCAAAATCACCTGAAGAAAGAACTGCTGAATATCTGGAAGAAGTTGCTGTTAAAGTTGCACAGGACTTGGCTAGTAAGAAATTAAAAATTGATCGCACCAGACCTTTAATGGAAAGTAAGTTTTCTTAGCATGTATTTTTGTTTAGGTGTACTTAAGAATATTTAATTAATGAGTTAGCTAAATTAATCTGCCTAAACAAAATTGGATTATCATTGTAGGGTTGAAAAGAAAAAAAACTGATATTTTTTATAAAAAAATAAATTTTAAAAAGTTTTTGTTTAGTTAAAGCAAGAACTTGTAAACTTAAATTAGAAATAATTTAATAATTAAAAAATTATTTTATCAAATACTTCTCGTGGATTAATTTATGCTTTTAATGAACAATTCAGAAACTTTAATTTTTGTTTAATAAATAAACTAAAGTGATACAAATAATGAAATACAAAAAAGAAGAAAAATACTACAGTCAAACCCCGCTATAGTGAACCTTCAAGGGACTGAAATTTCAGTTCACTATATCCGTTACGCAGGCAATTTAACTAATGGTTCTCAAACTGCTCACTTTTATGACACATTATTCAAATAAATGACTGAAAAATATTATGTAGTAGCAAAAATTGTGTTATTTTTCATTACTCTTCGTCCTGCGTGCAAAAGAAAAAATTAGTAACCTTTTGCTGCTGAGCAATCTTCTACATCAGATATGGAAACACTTCCCTACTCTCAGATAATTTTTTCTGAATTTCTGTTATTCCGCTTTTTAAACCTGTCTAACCTTCTACTGGAGCACAGAAAAGTAATATCATAAAATCACTTAGCAAATTCATCGACATTTGTCCAGATACTGGAAGATTGCGATTGGTGAACCACTTCAGTTAATGCTTCTTCAACATCCTTTTGATCTGCTTATCTCAACTTTTTTCTGCCATCTAAATTTTTTTTCATGAGCAGAAATTATTAATTGGCTATTTTTCCATATGTTACCAACATCAGATTTGTATAGTTTATATTCCCTGAAAATATCAGCTTGATTGCATCCATTTTCAATTTTTCTGACTATGTCCATTTTATCATCAATGGAGAACGTTTTACGTTTACTGCTAGCCATAGTTAAATTTGAGACACTTGTTTGCGGGATTTTTTTAACTGAACTGAGAGCAAAAAGGAGTTGAAATGTGGGCCTGATCAACACATATTAGTGTCCAACCCTTTGACCAATAATGAATAATTACTCATTCCCTTTGACAGAAAATGCATATTGATCCCATTGACACCTTACAGTTGCATCATCTGCCTGAGTTGGAAACATCTGCTTGGTTTGTTTAGGGATGGGAAAGTGAGATAAAAGAAGCAAACAAGAAAAAATGCTTATAGCTACGTTCCCCTCGATCGATGGTTTTAAAAATCGGTATATGTATTTAGTTTGAAGTAGAAATTCCAAAATTACTTTTAAAAAAAATAGGGGGGGGGGGATCAGTCAGAGACGGAAAAAAGTTCATTATATCCAACTTCATCACTTTTTTGGTTCACTATATCCACAAAAAATAACATTATATGTGTATAGCAAGGAACGAGACCGAACATTTCGTTCACTACAAACCGTGTTCACTGTAGCGGGGTTTGACTGTATTATAAATGTATGCTACAACTTTTTAAGACAGGAAATATCTTAAAATCTCTCCATTTACCCTTTTTTTTAACTTTGAAACCACTAAGTTTTCGATTTTCATCTAATATTTTAAAAAAGTAAGCATTTTTATTAAAAATGTTTATGAAATTTTGCTTCAAAACTTGTTTAGTTCATTTGATGAATATTTTCAACACAGTAAATATATTTCATTCATAATACTTCTGTATATTGCAAATTACATTTGTTGCTTTCATTGTTAATTTTATACTTGACTGCTATTTGAAGGTGATTATATTTAAAATTTGTGTTCTTCAGCCATCACTACTGTTTAATTTTTATTTTGTAAGTTTCAAAAAACAAAATTTTACTTTGATTTTTTTATTTGTTGATGTAATTTGATTAGATTTTTTTATTTGTTGATGTAATTTGATTAGATTTTTTTATTTGTCTTTCTGCTTATTAAATATAATATAAAACTCTTGTTTGTCTGTTAAAAACTAATTACTTTCTGATTTTGGATTTATTAGTAATTATTTTGGAATGAATATTTCAAATTTAAAAGTGTTTTAGGATATTTGTTTAACTTTTTACGTACTTATTCAACAAAGTTGGGAAGCTTTTTAAACAAAAATTAGCTCCGAATTTGATATAACATAAGTTTCATTTTCTTCGTTTATCGTTGAGTTTGTTTATCTAACTGAAGCTATTATTAATTTTATATGTTGTTCTCTTTTTAGGATTAATGAAGTACGCTCTTAGTATGCAATATATTCGAGACAAAATATTTTCAAAAGCTAAGCAACAAGTCATGAAACTAACCAATGGATTATATCCAGCTCCATTAAAAATTTTAGAAGTAAGTTTATTCAATATTTTAAAAGACTATGGATTGTGTGTAATTTCTATGCAATTTTATTTATTTCTTGTATAAATTATGGTTATATATATATATATATATATGAAATATCCGGTGTTTCCACACCGATATTTTTTTAGTTATTTACAGTCAAATCAGCATGATTAACGAGTCCAGTTTCGGCATAATCTTTTTTATTTAGCTAAACGATGGTGAAATAGCAGTTTCACCCCTCTCCAGACGGAGAGGGAGAGACAGAGTTACAGTCAGATCTGACGAAGTTTAGTTGGTAAACATTATACACCAAAAAGTCACGCTAAAACATTGCTCCTCTATTTTATAGGATGATTAAAAGTTGTGAAGAGGTCAGACATTATTGCATTTTTCTGTATTCTTACGCCTCATCAATTTATTTATTACTCATAGCAAATCGTTCAATCTTTCCTTATATGGAAGTGAAAGATCTTAAAATAACTTCTCTTTTGAAGTATAAATCTAATTATTATTCATTGGCATGTTTTTAGCCTTGAAGTCCCAAAATAGAATTTCTACCCTTATCCTTTACTAAAGATATTTAATGAAAA